CTTGCGTTTATTGCTTATTAAGAGGTGCCGCGGGAGAAAATTTTTGTGTTAAATTCTATTTCACTGCTTTTGGTAGTTTTAAATTTACAGTTTAGAATAAAGTGAGTCCAGGTAAAAAACTAGAGTAAACCTTGAAGTTTCAAATACGGAAATTTTTTTTTCAAATTATCAAAATGCAAGAATTATGGCAGGTTTACATAATTAGGAAGTAAACCTGCAATAATTTATATCTATGTATTTGCATAGTTAGATTGTATAAAATGCATATAAGTTATTGCAGGATTACTTCCTCATTGCGTAATCCTACCATAATTAATTTTGATATTTTTGATGCGTTATCCTATTATAATTCTTGATATTTTTCATACGTAATCCTATCATAATTTATTCACATTTTGATATTTTTACAAAACATTTCATCATTTGAAGCTCCATGGTTTTCTTTAATTGTACCTGAAGTTAATTTTTCTGTAATTTTAATTTTAAATTACTTAAATAGAAGAATTTGCCACGAGATATTTCTCCTATGATATAGCGCCCTCTTAAGTTTTTTTTTTGTTTTCGGTATAATGATTTTGATATTAGACACATTTGAACACGCTTTGTTTATATGTTTATCATTAAAATTATTGTTATTCGGTGGTGTATATTGAATTGTATATTTATGTACAAGGTCTTTTAAAATCCCCACTTTTAATATATAACTAGAAACAAAAGTCAAGGAAGGGTTATTTATTAGGAGCCGCAAATTAATATTGTAACTTGAAAACATATTATCCGATTTTGTCTAATCACTAACGAGGAAAGTGGTTTAAAAGACTTAAATGTTAGTTACAATGCCTAATGATACTCATATCCAGTTTCTTCGCTTTTTAACTTTTTCCCGTTTCCACTGACCAACCACAGTGCTGACAGAAAATATGCTCAGTGGTAGCGGATCATGGGAAGAATCCTCTTGCCGTCTGGTTGACTGTGAGAGTTTTTCGTGGCTTTTCCTTCCGTACATCACAAATGCGGGTCAGCTTCACCAAAAAGTCAAATTTTTCGACTTTTACAAATTAGGCTCAATTGTTTGTTTTTTTTTTCAGTATTATTACACTGAAGATAATATATACACTAAAAAATATTCTGCGCAAAAAATATTATCTTAAAATACATATTTTTCCATTTATCTCTGATTTATCTCAAATAAGCAAAGCGAAATTTAAAGAAAAAGAAATAGCAGTTGCTAAAATTAATTAAATCTACTTCGTTTTTAAATAAAATTAATTAAATTTTCTTTACGGAGATGTCCTTCAAAATATATTCTCCTTTTTAAAAAAAAAAAACGTTGCAAATAGTCATTGGTTGAGGGATTATAAAGCGCTAGCTCTTCTCTTTTATACCTTATTATTATAAGTAGAAATCACATTCTGTTTATTTGCGTATTTTTTAACATTTTCTCTTTCATCTTCTTACAAATTTATTTATAGAAACAGCAAAAAATATTTTAATTCCTGGAGAAAATATTCTTTTCTTATATTTTGTTTTTATTATTTATTTTATTTTGCTACATTAAGAACTTTAAAAGAAAAGATCTAAGTATGTATCCTATTCAAGTTATCAAAACTCTGTTAAAAAAATCTTATTCAACGGAAAACGAAAAAAAATTTGTTTTCTAATGCAGTATATGAATTGAATTACTCCTAATATTTTGAGTGCTTCTATTTGAATTTATTTTAAACACTTATCAAAAAACATCTATTAATGCAATGTTAGAAATTCAAATGATCTTGGAACATATTTTATTTTATTTTATAACCAGCGCTGAACAGCTCTCGACCCAACTCTGAGTTTACGACTATCTACGTTAAACTCCGTAGCCTTGAAATTTTTTACTCATCCCAGAAGACAGGGGAACTCATAGATAAAACATTGGAACGATGTAAAGTTTGTGGAGAACTTTTTGTTGGAACTAACCCACATTTGGGTTATGCGGAGAGAAAAACCATGAAAAGCTCCCACGGTTAGCCCTATAGCAAGGGTATCCTAACCCATGATCCGTCTACCACTCAGGATATTTTACGTCTCCACTCTTGTCGGTGAGCGCCGGAAGCAGAATTAGTATCAACCAGTCACCGTTGGTATTCGAACCTGGTCCACCTCATTGGGAGGCGAATACTCTATCCCCTGATCCACCGCGGCTCTAGAACTTAAGTTTTATTTCATTTCATAAGAGTCGTCGAACAGCCAATCCAATTTTTGGGTTTACGACTACTAATGTTCAACGCCGTAGCCTTGTAATTTTGAACCTAGTCCAGGAGACAAGGGAACTCCTGGATCAAGTATTGAGAGAAGGATGTGTAGCGTTTTTAAATAGTACTTAAAGGTGCTTATTTTTGATTTACGTTTTTTAAAAGCCCTTAACTGTACTTTTTTTTATTTGATGTTTGTAAAAAGTACTTAATTTTCTATATTTTAGAAAGAGGTTTTTTCCTTGCCGTGTCGATTGTCGTTCTAAATTACAAAAAGTGCATGATTTTTCGCAATTTTCTCTGCAGTATTTTTCAGAAACTAGTTATTTTATCATGATTATGTAAATTCTTTGAAAATGTTTTTGAATTTTCTTGATTTTATGTTTATAAATTAAGAACTTTAAACGATGAAAAAAAAAATTTTTATTCCTGTACAGCTCCTAATTATGATTTTTTTTTTTATTTTGGAAAGTGCTTATAAATATTTTTTCGAGTGTCAAAAAGTACTTAAAAGTTGCTTATTTTTTGTTGAAAAATCTGTCTGCGCACCCTGTGGGAGAAATTTGCCTTCGTGGAGGACTTTTTTAAGGAACTAACCCTGATTTGCTTATACATAGAGGGGAAACCACGAAAACCTCCCACGGTTAGCCTGACGGCAAGGGGACTCTAACGCAAGATCCATCTACCACTGAGGATATTTTACGTCAGCACTGTGGTCAGTGCAAGCCGGATGCGGAAGTCTTATCGGGAATTCTATCGCTGCGATTGGAACCCAGTTCACCTCATTGGAAGGCGAATGCTCTCTCCCCTGTGCCATAACAACTCAGAGCTGAAGTTTAAAGCATTCAATAATAATTTTCTTGTAAGTTGCTACCAATTCCAAGAGAGTGCTAACGAATCCAACTGCATTCCAAAAGTCTGCAGCATACTCCTAAACCTATGGTAAATTCAAAAACCCTATGGTATACATTCCAGTGGAACCCATGGTATTTATTAATAATAAGACACAAAGGTTTTGCAATCAACAATTGAGTCACCTTTGTTGGCACAACCTTTTTGTTTTCAAACAAAGTACGGCAGTTTCAAAATCTTAAAATCTATTCTAATAACATTAAAAGAAACACGTGTACATAATTCTAATACGCAACTGTTAAAAGTATCGAGTTTTTTAATAAAAAAAATACTTGTTTAAAATACAGTCGATTATCCAAAATATCATTTTTTTTTCTTTCTTTTTTTAAATATTGCATTCCAATACATTTTCTTGTTCTTTTACATTTCTCGCGTAAAATTCTTTCTTGAAGATATGACAATATTTCTTAGTAATCATGAAAAAATATTTTACTTGAACATTTATTTTAGGAAACTCGCCAAAAGAACAAATTTTAATTTGTGCAGCAAATATTCTTTTTTCTTGTATTATGTTCTATTCATTTAATTTATTTTGCAACATTAAAAAATAAATATCCTCCTCTTTTCTAGAGAAATAAATAATTTAACTTGCTGTGCTTTCTCGCAAAAAACGAATCCGAATATTTATTCAATTATTTTATCGATTTCCCCATTTGGCTATTATTTGGCATTCTTTATTAAATTTCATACACATATCGCTCCAGATTTGACTTACAGCGAAACTAGCTGGAAAAGAGAAATATTTTCTTTTCATCGTTCTCTGAAGAGCATCCAAAAATAACACACCCACCTTTGCGTAAGTGTTCGAAAGGGGGGAGGCGTTCATACTATCCACCCTTACATTTATAATTCGTTTATTTACGATAAAACAACATCTCCCACAAAATTTCCACTTCTTTCATGTCGGCCTGTGGAAGGCGCTAGTCAACCACCTACCTCCCTGCGCTGTAGGGTCCGATTGACCCTTCCCTGCGCAGTGCGCAGGCTCCCCACCCCCAGCCTCTGTTCCCTTGACAACCTGGACGAAAAGAGAAGACCTGTGCGACCGTAAAAGATTCTTCTGGCGCGTGCACTAAAGGTGCCTAGTGAATGTGTGTGCCTGTTTAGATTTAACACACGGTGGGAAAAGGAGTTCGAATTATTTGTGCATGGTTGACAACAGCACAACAAGGTGTTGTGCTGGTTTGTTTATGTTTACTAGTTGTGTTTCTTTGTTGCAAATACAATATTCAGAAGGAATACGGAGCGCTAAAAATAGTGCCCATTTGGGACCCCCGGGGAAATGTGTCATGTTCCCCTTGGGGTCCTCGGTCCATAAAAAATAAGGATGGGTGCTTGAGTGCTATTTATGTGCTGTGTGCTTTTTAATCTTACTGGATAACAATCTTGTTGTTTTTGTGGAATAAAGCTAATGAAAAGTGAAATTTCATTTCAATATAATTAGCATGCTTATTCTTAAATTTATTTGAAAAACAAAAATTATAACTTATATTCATGTTAGTCACTTTAAATAAGTCTATGTTCGTTATAAAATAGATGGTTGGAATATATTAAAAATTGAATTTTATAGTTCATGAATTACATTTTAATCATGTTTAATTATCTGAAATTATAACAGTTGACATATTTGAATATTATAAAACCAATTTCTTTCGTATTGCAAGTTTTCATTCAAAATTTTACTTTATAAAAGCAGTTTACAGTAGTTTAAAACAATTGTTTTCCTAAACTTTCATTCAAAATATGTATTACAAGTAGTTTTATTTTTTCTTAAAAATTGATTAAATTAGTTTTATTTTTAAAGAAACAATACAGTTTTTTTTAATTCTATGCATTATCAAGATTTATAATTTGTGAATGTTTAAATAAAAAATTTTTTACTGATTTTTTGTTTGACTAACTAGGTTTTAAATTTTGAGTAAATATAAAAGTCTAAAAAATCATACCAGATATTTACAAACCTTAAGCATCATTCTCTAAAAAAGTGATGACGTATTATACACATTATACACATTATAAATAAATTAGTTTAATTATCAGACAATTTCAAAAAGAAATACAATTTTACACGATTATCAAGCAATGCCTTTTTTCAAAGTAATTTAAAAACATATGATATTTCTTCCAAAATGTTAACAAATCAATGATAATAATAATGCCCATGAAAATACCCTGTTTACTCTATAACATATCTGCCAAAACATTACAAGTTTTTGGTGTTTTATACAAGGATTCAATCCAACGATATCGTTGTGATTTTTAAACATACTGCTGTTTGTCTTCTAAAGATGTCCACCTTGGATTTACTCCCATCTCTTCAATGAAAGTGATATAAAGATAATCAATTAAAACATGTTTCAAGGCGTGGTGCAATATCGCGATCCACAGCAACAGCAACAATCCCAACGTTTCCAACAGCAACAGCAGCAAATGCTGAATCAGAAACCTCCTCTGCATCCTCAGCATCATCCTCAGACAGCGGTGCTCTCCAGTTCATCTTCATCTTCGACAGATTCTTCGGGGGGAGGACAACAGTCAGGGGCAGCTACCACCCCACCGAACCGCCGCTCCCGACGAAGAAAATCCCTCCTCTATCAAGTTTTGATGTCTCCCTTGAGGAAAAAATCAGGATCCACCAATACTTTGAATACTGTGGCTAATACCCCGAGCAGCGGTAATCATCGTCAAGGAAATTCCGTAAGTCAAAGCGAACATTCTTAGCTTTGTTGATGTTCTATAGTTTAAATAAAGGGATTTTTTTTTTTTATTATTGTAAAAAAAACTCTTTTCTACGCCAATATAAGCTGAATTAAGTTCTATTTTTCACTTGTTTAATTTTTTTAATATGCTTTCTACACTGTAAAAAAATTTTTAGAATTTCTCAGTATATTTAACGATTTAAAGCGGTGTTGTAGACCAGACTTTTTTTCTCCGTTTTTTACCCTAATCACAAACACATCAAAATCGTCAGTTGAAATTCTAGTGCATTGTTGCGTTCCGTAATATAAATTTACCTTTTCTCCTATCATTATACTATTATTTTCTATACTTTTTAGCAATTACTTTATGGTTTTGAACATAGTGTAAATAAAACTGCGATGCAACTTCATTGTTAAATTCATACAATTATTTCAACGAAGTGACCCTGGTTTGAACCCAGCAATGACTGGTTGATACAAATTCTGCCGGCGCGAAGTATTCACATCTGGGGCGAGTACAGATTTACTAACTTTCAACAAACAAAATTTGATCCCATATGGTATAAATCTGTTGGGACAATAGATTTATTTGTGATTTTTATCGTAAAAACTTGTTTGGTTACGGTAAAAAATAAGTTTGATTACGGACTTTCTTCGTCATTTTTACGGAAAAAAAATTGTTTTTTGTAAGGTAAAGAACTGTTGAGACTACGGATTTACTTCATGAAATTTACAGTTTTTTTCACAACCAACCCAGCTGCGGGCTTAAAACTGTACATTTTACGTGATTTTTTTACAGCATAAACTTACATATCTCAGACTAGCACATTAGCACGTTTTGTGAATATAGTTGCAATTTATTAAAAATTATTCTGTAAGTCTTGTTAGCCATTTTTTACACATGTATAATGAAATAGATTTTTATCATTACAAAATTAGATAAATTATATATCATTGAATTGAATTGCTTTACATAATCTTGATAGCTTCCAATTGAACTTATTTTAACCAATTAATAACGCTTATTAATTAAGTATTAGAAATTCAAATTTTCTTGGAGCTTTATTAACGATAAATTTCTTGTAAGTTTCTACTGATCCGTACACCGTAAAAGGTTCCGAATCAACTTACGGTATAAAGTACCGGAATTTTAAGTGCATCATCCATAAAATCCCTTTTTTCACCGCACATTTTACTGTAATATTTACTTAATTAGAGTGATTTAGTGATTCTACGGTAGTTATTACTGTGAAAATTATGGTATATCAGGCGTTTTTGTTTACGGTAATCATACGGTAAAATGTACCGGTACCCTGAGTGTCGGTACTTTTTACCGTAATTTGATTTGGAATTTTTTAATCCGGTATAATGTCTTAACTAATCCAACTGTATACCAAATGTCTGCAGCATTCAAAAAGACAATGGGATATTTCACTGTTGGACCCATGGTTATTATTATAATCATAATAAGATGCCAACATTTTGTTATTATCAACTTTGTCACTCCTGTTGACACAATCGTTTTGTTCTCCCACACAGCACTGCAAATTCAAAATCTTATTATCTAATCTATTAACAGGAAATAATTATGAACATAATTCTAATGCATAATACTGTTATAAGTATTGAGTTTCTTAAAATACTGATTTAAAATTTAAATTACTGATGCAAAATATCAGGCAATCCACAATACCGATTTTCTCTTTTTTTTAAATATCGTATTCCAATACTTTTTTCTGTTCTTTTTCATTTCTCTATTCAAATTTTTTATCAGGATATGTGGAAATGATTCTTAGTAATCTTAAAATATTATTTTAGTTCAATGTTTTTACTTTAGAAAACTCGTAAAAATAATTAATTTTCAATAGTTTCTGGACAAAAAAAAAAATATGGTCAAAACTACCAGAATATGTAATTCTGGTATCTTTGACCATATTTTTTTTAATGTAAAATTTGATAATTTTTATAGTGATACCTCAGAGCATGGCATAAAAAACCATTTATTTGGTTAAATATATTATCAGTTTAATATTTTAATTGAAAGTATGGTAATAAGAAATGTAATTTTGAAAACCAGAATTTTATGTAAACCGTCACAATATGAAAGCAAAAATTGCCAAATTAATGGTTTAAGTAACTTATATTTAATTTTTTATTACCAGAATTATGCTTTTTTTTTTACCAGAAATGTCATTAACGCACAGCACGGTAATTTTGCCAGATTTTTTTTCTTCGTGTAAATATAAATATATGTATTTTTTAAAATGTATATATTTATATATATATTTTTTTATATATATAAATTTTATATATATATATTTTTTTAAATTATTATATTTAGAAAACACGTAAAATGAACAACTGTTCTTTTATTTTTAAGTCTGAGCATTTTTTTAATGATTTTACTTTAATATTTTTTTTTTTTTTTTTGAAAAAATTAACAAAAGTATTAGTTTGCGATTTTCTTTTTCTTTGTTTCCTACAAAAACCATTTCATTATTATAGGAAGTTATAAAATTCAAAATCATAAAATATTAAAAATTATTATTAATATTATTGGTGTGTGTCATGACGGATAACCTAGGAAGATGCACAGTATTTAAGCAAATAAATATTTTAAATTTCTTATAATATTTAATATCATTTATCCACAAGTAAATATTTTGTTCGTCAAGAAACTTAATGAAATAAATACCTGATAAAGTTCTGTTGTCATCATAATACTGCTTAACCATCACAAAACGAGTTCCAGTCCTCACTGGTAACAAACTGAAGGAGTGACGCCAGACAATAGTTGGTTTATTCTCAGAAAAATTGGTTCAATATTAAACCATAATTTTAGTGCCTTGGATCATATCATTAAATTTTGTGCAAGAAGTGTTAAATTTAGCCATGCGACCTCTCAATTTGGACCATATTATTAAGTTATCATAATTAAGACAATGTACGCGATAACTTCAAATATCAATAAAGTTACAAATTTGAACGAAATTGTGATTCATTTACGATAAATTCGAATATCAATAAATTGCAAATTTGAACAGAATTGTGGTTCGTTCACAATAATTTCGAATATCAATTACGTTGCAAATTTGAACGGAATTGTTGTTCAACATGCTTAGAAATTGATAAAAATTAAAAATTTGTATATTCTAAAATATATCTTTTTAGATATTAATAACAAAATTGTTTTGTTCGTGGCTGTATTTATTTTTACAGATTTCGGCAACTACCTATGGTAACTTTATCTTTCTGTATTGATAATTGCACTTCTTTATTGCTTGAAAAATAAATATAGCTAGTGAATGACTAAAAAAACTCTTCAATTAATACATGTATAATACATGTTTCGTTTTATTTAATTAAATGTTTCCAAAAAGCTATTTTTTATCATAACAGATCTTGCTATATAATAATTGATTTATGTTTCTTTGTTTGATCTAAATGCATATTTACTTCGATGATCATACGCGTAAACGACGTGTCAATAAAAAAATGAAACCGATTTCGGGAACAATGCTTTTTATCTCTCACACAATTCTTTTTAAAATCTTGTACTCCTATAGTTAATCGCATCTTCTGCCTGATGAAAACGCAGCAGACCTGAATCCATTCGATAAAATTAAGTGGTTCGTATTTTCATTTTTTTACAATGAGCAAAAAAAAAAAACCAGAAATATTTTCGCACCAATAATTTTAATACCTGCAGTAATGCCCATTTTTCATTTATGGCTTTTTTTTTTCTTCCGCTGCATTGCAAAAATAAATTTCTATAGACGTTTATAATGCTTCGTTTCCCCAAAACATTGAAAAATTAAGAAAGGAGGAATTTATTTTTCATAGCTAATTTATCGTTCAATCTATCTCTTTTTTTTCCCATTTTGCTTGCTTTATTTTTCTCTAGATTTATTCAATTCATTATTCTTTTATTTTTCTTAAGGTCTAATTGGAAAAGCGTTAAAAAAAATTTTGGCGAGTTATTGATGTTAGTGTATAATAGCTAGCTACAATAAACATATTACTTAGTCGTTCTTTTAAAAATAATAATGCGTATGCATTCGTCTTGGTTTGCTTTTAAAAAAGTGAATTTATTGAAAATGTTTTTGCTTTTAAATAAATCCATTGATTTAAGGCATAGTGTATTCAATGTACTTATTTAAAAAGTGTATCGAATGCACGTTATTAACAATGCATGCATATCTATCAAGTTTGTATGAATTTTTTTGCGCACACATTCGTTTTTTAACACTTGTCGTCCAATTAAATAACCTCGCAGATAAATTGATTTATTATGCAGGAAAAAAACCTAAGTAAAGAGCAGTGAACTTGGGAATTCGGAGAAAACATAGAAAGGGTAAACAGTTTTTTGAAGGAGGAAAAAAAAAAGAAAAGTTTATTTTTGGTATTTTATTTTATCACCGAAGTAAAAGTAAAATATTTGAGTTTTCATGTTCATAAATTTGCTTAGATCTTTAATCTATTTAACTTATTTATCCTTTTTTTATGCATAAAAGTATTTAGTTAATTATCTTCTTAAAAACCAATTATCTATTACTCACAATATGTATAATTTGGAGAAAGAAGTTGTAGATTCGTTTTATTCAGGTTTTCAGCATTTTAATTCTTACTACCACACATTTAGTAACATAAAATATTTAAAAGTAAATTTAACCGAATAAATGTTTTTATGCCAGTCTCTAATAAAATTATCAAATTGTACCACATTTTCCAAATTTTAAAGCCATATTTTATTTTTAATTTACCAAAATCATTACCTAAGCGTAGTCATCGTAGTCATAGTCCAAAATCATTTCCTAAGTGTTCCCATTGAACCGGAAAAACGGTAAATTTATCCATATTCTAGTAGTTTCGACCCTGCTTTTTTCTTTGAGTACAATATAAAACATAATTTTGATTATTAGTTTTTTTATTATACATATTTAATGCCTAACTTTTCAGTTTCAATTTGATTAATTATTTGTTTTCGTTCTTTACGTA